AGCCTATGGTTAAAAAGGTCCAAAAAACATATTCTGATCAGCATTAGTAGAGATTACTGTTGAATGAGGGGAAGGAGAGGTACTTGGATGTAAAAGTTTAAACCTTTCAATGTTTACAAGCAGGTATCAATGGCTACTTTCCAGTGCTATAAAACTGTACCTTTATGGTACCTGTAGCATACTTCAATCAGTATAGACATAGTGGTAGTTCTACCATACACATCATGGGTGAGGTCAACCTAAGAGTAGTGTTCTTCAGCCTTGTAGAAGCCATCCATAAGGATGAAGCTGAAATTGATGGAGGGATGTAAAAGAAAGTGACCAAGACAATTAGACAGGTCAAGGGTCAATGAGTAAATATTTCTTTTTCTTTGAGCCTTGCTCTTTTAAGAAGAAGGTTCTTATGTAAAGTTTTTCACTATCCATGATCTCCCACTACTAGGGGAGATTCCATGAAAATACTTTAGCCTTCAGTGTAAGGAAATACCATAACAAAATAACAGGAAATAATAAATAATTGGTATTTTTCAGCCAGGATTACTGAGGAATGTAACAGATGGCCAGCTGACACTAGTAACTTGGATGAAAGGTAAAGAATCAGCTGGGAAAATATTTCCATGATGTAAAAATGCAGGGCTGCAAATGATATAGTTGGTTGAAAGATGTATGACATCCTTTAAGAAAAATGATACACCAGAGCTCAATGAAACTAGGAGAATAGTGTCATGGCATCATGGAGAAAATGTTACAGACAAGAAGCACATGCCTCATAGGGAAACAACTAACCCAATGTAAGAGTTTGTGAACTGCTTCTCAAGAACATAAGCCTGTAACCAGACACTTCTTCTTGCAAGCCCATACCACTGCCTCTGTGTTTAACTCATTAAAGCAATGAAACCACATTAGTGTTATAAGCTATTTACAGGTCAGCATCTTTACAGCACTTTTCGAGAACTGTTTATTATTTGCACTTCACTGCTGTCTTTTGCAAATCTTCCAATGCCTGCAACTATTGTCTATGCTAGTAACATCTTGTGGAGAGTCCCTTCCCTTGTGGTATATATTGCTTTTACAGAAATTCTCCCCAGGATGTCCTGATGCTAATCTCCAATTTTCATGAGCTGCAGCACACAGTTTTCATACAATAGTGCCATATACCCCTCAATTCACTTTAGAATCACCTTCAGTTATGCTTCATCTCCCTGTTCCTTTGGTGTTATCTTATTGATAATATTTTGACATAAATAAACAATATACTTATAGATATGAGGATCAGTCAAATGAAAACTGGAAAATCACAATATAAAATAATTTCCTATTGATGGATGTCCATAACTTCCAGTGTATGTTTGCAGAGAATGTGTGAAGATCTGTCATAGCGGGCAACACCATGTGACCAGAAAGAACAGAGCAATTGCTTGGGCAGCATGGTGCTCACAGTGCCTTGTGCGTTCAAGGAAACAGAGTGTGCCATAATTCAATGTCTGACTGCCGAAGGTGTGACTATGACTGATTTAACAAATGTTTCAGTAAATTCAGAAATGTTCAAATTCCCATCAGTTCAAATAAAAACTGACAATAGGTACGTTTTTCAAGCACAGCTGCAAAAGTTCAAGACATAGCTTGCATGGAGCTTCTCAGCCATGTTTTACATATCTCATAACTAATATATAAACTATGTTCTTTGTTTTTCATAAATGCATCATCTCTCACTCATTGAAAATAAAACTCTTTTCAATTGTCCATCGTCTGAGAAACGAGGACACACAGTGTCGATACCGTTCCGAAGTCTTGTTAAGGAAGGTAACAAAAGCTACCTAAATAAGATTGATCGGATACGTCATTCTCACGAATATGAACAGGTGTTCACTTTGAATATCATTAGTCATTGAAAGTACGGTTTTATTTTACAATCTTTTTCCCTGGCTTGAAACACCAACACTTATAGCAGGATGTCAATTTCATGTGGAAGCCTATTTATTACCCAGTCAACAAAAAATAAGCATTACTTCTTGACTGGCAGTTGTTTCTGTCATGATAACAGTGATATATTACATCAAAATCAAATACAATGAGAGGTGGAGAGGGGTGTCATAATGTTAGCTTTGAACATATCAATGCCTTGATGAGAAACATGAATGTTGTACTTATGAAAATGTAACTTTCACACCAACACTGGCAAATGGTGACTCAAGGAGACAAAATAGAATTTATTGCAAATGAGAATGAAATGAAGAGTTCTGCATGATATATGTGCTGGCCTCTGGGGCATGGTTGTTTCATGCAGAGGAGCTGGAAACCAAGACAGGCTGATAGAGGTTCAGCACAAGAGACACAAGTTCGTCACACCTAGCGAAGTGGTGGGCCTTCTTCCAATAAATGTTGGAAACAGGAGTGGGAGGATGAAGGACATCATGACGAAGGTACACAAGGTTGGGAAATGGAAGACAAGGATGACATGTTAAGTTGCTAATGTGACATTTCAAGAACTCAGCAAGCAACCCTGCCCCTGCTACCATTTGTAGTAACAACCATTGTCAAAATCAATCCACCTCCAATCCTTTGCATCTGACTGGGCCTATCTCAATTCACAGGAAGATGATCAATTTATTGATAGGCCTACCTTCTCCTCTCTGCATCTTGTGCTTCCATTCCAGGGAGACTGATGGTAATGGATGATGGTGCCCCAAAGTCATATTTCCTCACAATCTTCTCACACAGCCCAATCCTCACCATGAGAGAGTGAATGAAGTTGCTCACCACTGAGATGGGAGGTTGAATCACATTTGGGAAAAAACTGCAGAATAAATAGATACAAGTTAATTAGAATACTAATTACAGAAATGGGTGCAATCAGATCTGGGCAGACATCAAAATCAAGCATTTATCAAGCCCCAGTTAGTGCCTAGGCCTAGTCATGTGACAGCCTAACCCTAGGCATAGCAAACCTGTCATTACCATATGCAATAAACTCATCTACCTTGCAAAGGAGAAGTTTTCAGCCATGTCCCCTTTGGAGCCATTTCGGTGCTTCTGATAAAAACGCAGGTATGTCCAGCTGATGACAATGCCACAGAGAAACATTGAAGGATAGGTTCCTTCCAGGAGTCCGATTACATGTAAGATGACAGTCAGGGTGAAGATGCACAGAGGAACATTTCGATTTGTGATTTTTGTCACAGGAGTTCGGATGAGTACATGGTCCGGCATTATTTGCTTCACTGCAACTGTCACTCCTGCTATGTATCCCGAAAGGCCGTGAATGTGAAGGGAGAAAAGTAAGCCTGGTTGGAATGTGCAGCTGTATAAAATGAGATAAAATACTCCGGCAAGAAACCCGACCAAAATGTTCACGAGGAAAAAGAAAACCACCATTTCAAAGGCTCCCCATAATGGCTCGATAAGTTTTCCACACAGCACTAAGGTGGCGATATCCACACAGACTTCCCAGAAGTGAAGTTCCAGGAAGAAATGAGTGCATGCAGTCCAAACCCATAAATGAGGAGGCCAGAGGTATCCTGGAGTGACACTAATCACCTCAACTGCAGTCTCTGAATACGATAAGAAGTAGCAGGAGAATATGATGAGGCAAATAGACCGCACGAACAAAGTCGTGTTTTTCCATAATGCCTTCACTTCGGGAAATATGAAGGCGAAGTTTCTCCTCATGGCATTCATGGAAGAAGCCATATTTCCTACGTTACTCCAGTGTTGTTGTGACTTCGAAACTTCAAGCGGAACTTGACGAGTGCTCATCTACAAGATGAACGCCAGACACCTTATGAAAAACTTAAGCATGGAAAACTTATCTGAACGCGATAAAATATTCGGATGATATAGTTGCTTGTGGGATTGAACACTATATATTTTTCATGATGTCCTTTCCTCTCCCATCTCATCGATGCGAAGGACCTGCATCTCCAACGCTTTCCTGCGTAAGGTTAATAAGGGCGGTAGTTGCTCGCGATTGCTGACATTCAGATCCTATGCTTATTCATTAGAAAAAAAGAGATTTCAGAACCCAGAAACAGTACAACCAAGTCGACTATTTAATTACGTTAAGTCTTTCGATATGGCAGACGTAATGATAACACTATAGGGACTATTCGCTTATAGCGCGCAGCGCATCGTTGATGAAGGCTGTGGATCACATTACCTTCTCTATGGAATTCTCATGGATTCAAAATCTAAAGTCAAGGCTTATGGATCCATCAAATTTAGATAAATGTACATAAAATGGAGGACTATACACAATAGACCTGTTTTCGGCACAATCCCAAATGAAAGGTCAAAGTGGGACGAAGAATGGAATTAGCTCCAGCAGACGTTGAACCTGTTCTGCTTGTTTCCATATACACCTACATTGTTTTCGTGTTGAATTCAATGGAAGAGCTCCTATGGGGCATAGGAACACTCCCATCGATTGCATGTAGGTACCTACCACGATGGTGGTTACGTCTTTCACCTGATAAAATGGACCCTTCTGGAAGTTGTGCTTTCTCCGTTCTCCACTACAGGGGAGTGGTACGAATTCAATCCAAAAATAGTGTACTGATATCCAAATTGATATATCCTCACTGTCATCGGAACGTGACACTTTCGCTCGGATTTTTCAACTTGCGCGAAAATGTAGGATACGAGCAAATGAATGCCTATTGCCTATTGATTATGAACGAAGCTTGAGTGATAAATTTATTTATGAGTTATACTTGGTATCATAATTTCTTTATAAGTTATACCTGGTATCAAAACAGTGTAGGAATCTATCCGGAGTGTCCTGCCTCTACGCGGGTAGAGGAGTAACCCCCCTCCCCCTTCACGGAGTAACCCCCCTCCCCCGATTCATCCTTCCATTAGTTTATGTTTTCATGCCAGTTTGATGCAGTGTGAGAAATAGGCCCAGCCCACTTACCCATTCCCATCTTACTTTTTAAAAAAAGCAAACATTCCTCACCATTAGATAATGTTTTCAAGGTATACGATGCACAAGTAATGTCTGGAGGAAATGTTGGCAATAGATGCTCATAAGGATTCGACCGATTTAATCAAGTTAATCCGGCGATGCCGCCGATGAGGGTTAATGAAAGACGAAACCGTAGATCCACATCAGTTATCGTCCTTGTGTGGCCTGCCTATTTCGGCCTCTTGCAGACCTAGCGTTCCTGCAAAATCGGCACATCGAAAGGATGCGCTTTGTCGTTCCGATGCCTTCACCTCGATTTCGAAAAGAAGCCGCGAGATGAAGCGCCGGTAAAACGAGTCGACTCGGAGAGAGTGAAAGCCTCGCCCTAGTAGGCTGGGGACTCGGCCGGCTACATACGGGTCTGGGGTGTCCACCGGAGTCCAGTTCACTCTCACTTTCATGTCCGACTCCGTCGCACCGCTCCGTCTCTCCTCCGTCATTCTACTATATCTGGCAAGTCAAGTAGTGTGAACTTACACATGATGATTCCTCTCGTGTCGCCTCCTCTCGTCGAAGGATTCCATCGCTTGCCTCTCTAGGTATTCCCTTTGGGATTTCTTTCTTTCTTGCGATCCTTGCTTTCCGATGCTCCGTGTCACCGACGATAGCACCTTCGATCGTGGAAGATGCAGATCGCGAATCTGAGCACGCCGGCGATTCACGAGATAGAATGCATGCTTAGCTAGTCTTGGAGATGAGGCATTAGAGTGGAGACGTGTTCTTCAACCCCCAGTCCGACAGTGGGTATGTATACCCGCTGTCGAGAAAGGATGAAAACATACTTCTCCCTTCCCCTTAAAAAAAAAAGTAGTTCCCTTCCTGTCTTCGCAAGAAGGTTTTCCTTCGATCAGTCGGAAAGCACTATGACTGGTATCTCAGTTCCAACTGGAAATGTGCATACGTTTCTCTTTCCGGTGTCCCAATTAACTGAGTCGGCAGGGGATTTCCGCCCGATCCACACTAGCCCCATCATAGGAAGGATGACGTGGAGTAATGCCACTTTCCTCTCTCGGTGAATTTCCCCAGAATGTCCTTTATTTAATTCGATCCGATTGCACGATGGATCTCGATGAAGTCGAACCGATTACCAAATGGGCCAATCGTGGAACAAAATATCCGGTGCATGACACGCGGTTTTATACCCCACTCCGAGGCGATCGAGGGTCTACTCTTCATTTGAGGGTTTAGTCCACCGTGACGCAAAAGGGTGGAAGCGTGCAGGTCTCGTTGCTCTGCATTTCCTCGCCGGAGTTCTCAAAATGCAGCAAAGCAGAACAGATTGTCTACGAAATTCCCCAAGAAATTTTCACCTTTCCTTCTCCAATCTTCTCTGCGGTGTGGAGTCACCGGCTCTCTGAAGAACCAAAAACTTTCGGCATTCTATACCAGATTGCGGTCGTCCGACCTAGGTCGTTCGTGGTCGTCACATTCGGCCCAGGTCGGACGGCACCGTACGTGGTCGTCACGTCTTTTCCGTAACTAATAGACCTACCGGTCTGCTCAGTCCGAAGAACAATTTGAACAACGATGGCAAAGGCATGTATGAGCTCATCATCCTAGATGGAAAATGTTACTTGATTCTCGATTTAGTAGCGATTACCAGCGAAGGAGGAGAAGTCGATGAGTGAGGAAAATTTATATGAAAATCTGTGAAAATCCTAGTCACGAATCGAATGCGTGACGTAGACATTGCTGCCTCGCCTGTGACTGATTCTGGTGTCAGAAACTAACGGAACTCTTCCCGTTCCCCATGACAGTCCGCTTGTTAGTTTACCAAGAGGTGACGCCAAAATCGACCCTATGAAAGACCACTATGAATAGATGACGCGTCTTACGTCATAGTGATCTTATCCTGAGAGAGTAAACATTGAGAGCTACTAAACATACTTCAACCTATTCGTTTTTTTAGGCAGAGAGGAATAATTCTGATCATTTTTTCACGAGCTGATACATGAACAGATTTCCTTTTCTTGAACTCGGTTCTTCTCGCACGGGGAGTGTGGAAAACTATAGCATGGAAATGCTGGAATGACTCAAGCGTGATACCAGATGGGTCTGTTTCTCTTTTGTTTTTTTTTTTGCAGAATGCCTAGAGATGGGAGACTTGAGGAGAGGACGAAAGAGACCACCTGGTGAGTCAGAGTGCATGTGCAACGTCCACCGCGAATTTTCCTTCCATTCAAATCATTCATTTCTTAGTCCCAAGAGGCGAGTAGCGTCTCCCAATAGAAAAGTGTGGTGGGAAATCGCCGTACGTGATTCACATCTGCCGGCGATTCCATCAGAGAAATAGCCGTCACCACCGAATTGGGAAAGGAAAGATACGAGATTAAGAATGGAAGTAACCTCTTCCGTCTCCTCCTTTCCCTTAGGGCTCCTCGGTGCATCGTGTACTCTTTCTCTCTCTTAGTACAACGCTTCCCTTATTGCTGCATGATGCATCGACATGTACGTGGAGAGTATTACCTCGGCTTATAGATGATTCCCTTCACGTTCCCCTTCTCCGGCTTCAAACGAGTTTATTCATACACGTGTCACGAATGAAGTTGGATTGAAGAAACACGGCACGTGCCGGCTTTGGGAAATTCTCGTCACTATCGGAGATGGGAAGTCATGGGTTTTTCCGGAATTTTTCTTCCTTTGTAAGGCTCTTCTATAAAATATGTACACCTTGCGAAATTCGATCTGTCCACGCGAGACATTCCCTGGCTCTTCCGGGAACACCGCCCAATACAGTGCGATTCGCTTGCTTCTATACTGCGACTTCTGACGTCACTTTCAGGGAAAGCCGAAAAACAGAATGCATTGGAAAAATTTAATTCAGTAACAAATGTATACACATGGAATTCTGAAACTGCCATTCAGAGCATGGTGAGGAGGATGAGAACGGAAGTCCCCTCAAGGGGTGCACTATACTATTGCCCTCCTAACAACGCTTTCTTTCCTCGTCTGTTGGTAAGCGTCGAAAGGCCAAGACCAACTAGTTATAATTTAATTGCTCCATTTGAACCGGACAGTCGTAAAAGCCGGGATCCCGGTTTCGTTTTTGGAACCGAGAGAGAGAAAGTTGAAAGCAGAGCATGCATGCATGTCCGCTGGTCTTCTCTTCTCACATGGGGATCGTGAAAGTGTTTTCATGATTTCGGCCGGCTTTTGTCCTATCCCCGATGAGATGACGCAATCCCCGGTCTTGCCATGGATATATCTCCATTCCCCGTTCACGATTCACGATCCACCTCTCTCTCCCTCAATGAACTCACCTCGGCCCATTTACCAACCCGTTACCGTCTTATTCGAGACCGGTTGCATTCCAACCACGATCCACTACGCTTCCTTCCATTGCAATCGTACTTTTTCTGCTACTTTAAAAGTCACAATTTTTTGGCACAATGGGGAACTTGACACCCATTTTGTTATGATGACAAAACAAATTACATATAAATTTTGGTAACTATCGGTGAGGAACTTGAGATAATGTTGGCGGATACACATTAGCGTCATGTCATCAGTAGTATCTACATCAGCGTCATCTCCCTATGCAATTTTTGGATTAGCTATACCTGGTTCGGACAGCGAATAAGTGAAGGTCTTTTTGAATGCATGAACACTTCAAAATGGAACAGAAAATAGATGAAGATATGAACAGGCAAAGAAACAAACCCCTCCCCTCAAAAAGAATTTTGTAACTTTCATTTTGTAACTGATAATGCATGTGTATGCTGTAATGTTGAAAATTGAGCGGCAAATTCTTTGAATAAAAAATGAA